CAGCAAGGCACGTGCTGGCACTGTTTCGGCAGGTGGCTGAAGTTTCGCTGATGCTTCGCCAGGGCACAGTGCAGCCCTGGGGTGGGCATCGCCCTTCGCCCCACCGGCACAGCAGCAGGCAGGGAGGAACGGGCAGGCAGCATGGCCCGGGAAAGGCGATGCCCTCAGAAAGGCGAGCGCAGCCCACAGCAAGACCACAGTGATGGTGCAACCCAAACCACCTGCATCCACAGGGAGAAATCATCTTTATTTTAATCCTCCAGTCTCATGTCCCTTCCCCAGGTCTGCCTGGCTCCTTCTCTCTGCATTTGCCGTGCTCTTTGTCTCCACGGGAAGACTCACACCTCCCCAGCTCCATGCTATCAGTTCATCATCTGATTAAAGATTAATTTGAGATTATTGCTAGTGTCAACAGGCCAGAGAGGGAAAAACAATAGCTACACCTGCAGCTTGTTTGTGAACCGGGCTTCTTACTGCGAGCTGTTAATGGACGGAGGCTTTCACCAGGACTGCCTGGTGGCAGGGGCTGGCCGAGCCCTCTCCGGCAGCTGCTGCCCGTCTTGCCCAGCCAAGGATAAACGCACACATCTCCCAAGGCCTCCCACAGTCCCAGGTATCCCGAGTGGGAAACCCGCGCTGTCTCTACTGACCGCCCCGTAAGCCATCCCAGCTTCTGCTGTGAGGCTCCAGTCATTCCCTTCCTCAAATCAGAAGCAGCCGCCAAGCGATTGACTTTAATAACGGGCCTTTCCCTGGATCCTGCCTGGTTTCTGTTTATTTATTCAGGTTTTTCTAGGTAAAGTAAGAGCCAAAAGAAGAATTAGGCAGCTACACTTTGCAGGGGCTGAGCTTTGCTGGCTTTTCCCTGGGCTCCACACTCAGTTGCTGGAAACTCTCCTCCAGCGGCTGCGGGGGATCCGGGAGATCACGAAGCGAACATTTCTACGGGACAGTTTTGCAATGACGGGAGAAGAAAGTAAAATTTCTTTCCTTCCTACTGCCCTGGAGTTGGGGGCAGGCGTTCTGGGGGGCCCTGGAGCTGCTCTTTGCCCTCACTGGCACTGGGGTCAGACGTGCCTCATGCCTGTCCCTGAGAGAGATGGGGACAGAAAGGGGTGGAAAAGGCAGATTTGGGAACTGCGGCCCCCCGATCACCAAGCAGATGAAGCCTGGTCTTTGCAAAGGTGGCTGTAACCACCCACTCCCCTTCTCGTCCCCTCTGGGACGCTGGGGATGCTTGCAGAGACAGGACAATTTCAAACGGCGTGACGGAAGCCTTAAAAGCCTTTTTAACCCGATATACCCGCGTGGGTCTGCCCCGGCTCTCTGCCCCAGGGGGGGCTCATGGCAGGGGGGGTTTCCAAACACCCTGAATTCCACCTCGGGTTTG